ATAGTCAAAATAATATTGGAATAAACAAGGTTTGAAAGAAAATATTTTGATTTTTTAGCAAATGACCAGGTAAAATCTTCTAAGTTGCATATGAAGTATTTTTTCCTTACAGTTTTGATATTTCTTTTCTATTCTAATTAAATACTATATTAAATTTAGAGCAGACAAAATCAAGCAAAAAGGATTTACTTGAGCCATGTTAGACTTCAAATTACAAAACAATGACCAACAAGTAAGGATCATTCTCCAAGAGATGCTAAGTATTCCATGAACAAATCAATTATTTATCATTATGTTGTGCCTCAGTGAACAAGAGAAATCATAGTAGATCAAGGTGGGGAAAAATAAGTTGACATTTAATGTAAATCATTTCAGCCATTGCTTTAGTGCCTAAAATAAATTGAACACCTTTACTTCACTTATACATCTTGGTAGCATGTAATAAGTTTTGCTCTCCCACATGCTACAAGTTTGAATAATGGATCTCAAGATTTAAAATCAACTCCTGCTTTTAAGTCTAATTCTGTACACTTAAGAAAAAATATACAGACACTGATGTGTTGTTTTAGACCCAAATGTCTGTATTTTACAAGATACAAAATAAGAGTGCCTGATGATTCTACATAGGTATATCATGTATCTGTTTTTCATATTTTTTCTAAGTACTTCCACAGTTACATAAATAATAATTCATAAAGTAATCATTTTTATTTTTTCAATTTTAATAATTTACAATTATTAAGATTCAAAATGTTATCTTCTATTCAAATTTCATCAAAAAGATATCAATCAAAGCAAAAGACATCTATTAAATATATCTTTAGTTTCAAATTATGAACCACATAAAAATGCTGCAGTTAAGAATTCAAATGTTAATTTTCATTAAAAGGTTTGATTGGTAAAACTTAAATACATTAACTTTAAGTAATTGAAAATAAAATACATTTTTCATTTAATCTAAAGAAAGAAGTGTTATATGTATGAAGGCAAAAAAAATAAATCTTTTTTGGTTTTAAGATAAGAAATTGAAAATTATGGGTTGCAGAAAGATGATGTTATATTTGTTTATTTTAATAAAAGTCTACAGGTTTATATTTAACAAAAACAGGAATATGCTGAATGTAAACATAGCCTGGATATTCCGAATGAGAGAAAATGAAAATTTTCACTCTAATATAGGCTAAGAATAATTGTAAAAAGAACAAGATGTTTTTAAAAAGTAAACTTTTGAAAGGCAATCCCATTTTAATCAACAATTTAATCTATCAAGATTAAAATAAACAAAACTTATCTAATAGTACAAGCAAGAGAGTGAGAAATAATTAAATAGCAAGAATAATGTTTAAATTAACAATAAATTTTAATTTCTCTAAAATCTTGTACATACACTTATGGCAAGGAGTAGTGGGCAGACACATGGACATTTTCATCATTCAGAGAATCTACAATAAATACTCTTAATTAGTTTATTTATAGAAACAAATATTTGGAACATCTTTAATGGCTGCAAGTTTAAAGCAGTTCATATGAGTCTAAAAGTTAAGAGCAGGCTATCACTAAAACTGAGTTATCTTTTTAATAACAAAAGCAATAGTAATTATGTTGGTCAATTTCATGTTATGTTAATAAATCTATGTGTACCTAGAACTCATCTAAAAGTCCCTTTACAAATTCTTCTGACAATTGGAATAACTTCAGAAGAAACAAAAGGTTTCAGACAAACAAGTTTGGAAAGCTAAATCTCTCTCTCTCTCTCTCTCTATATATATATATATATATATATATATATATATATATATATATATATATATATATATATATATATATAAAATCAAGCACTTTTAAAAAAAAACAAATGCTAAAGAACTGGATTATTAATCTGGTTGTTCTTTCTTTTTATTTTGATATATATATATATATATATATAATCAGTTATAAATTTAAAAACAAGTTAATTCATATTAAAGTAAATCTAATTCAGTAAACTGTAATATATACAAACAAAACAAACAGTTCATACTTTTTAAAAGACATAAAATAAGCAAAAATTGGTGAGTACTTTCTCAGTAAATTGACAAAACGTCAGGAATATCCAATTAGAAAGAAATCCAAATAAATGCATTTAAATTTGAAAGCAGAAAAAAATGAAATAATTAAAGGTATTTAATAAAGGCTAATAAAGTCATTAATCTTTGTATAAAAAATAGACAAATGTTTTCACTTATGATTTGTTTTATAAGAAAAATGTATGTAGTGTTCAACCTGTTCAAAGCAAGAAAACTCTGGTTACTGAGCAGCAAATATTGAAGGCTGTCAATCTTTTTTGACATTGAAATGAAGCCAGTCATGAGTTATATTCTACTTCAAAGATTAAATATGTAGTTTTGATCTAGAAAAACATCTCCAAATGAAAATAAATGCACAACATTTATACAAAATCAGAAAAATGCAATATTATCTTGATATAAGCATCAATTCATTTGTGCATTTTGTGAGCAACAATCTACAGCTGATCAATTAAAAAACAATCATGAATATTATATCATGTTAAACAATATTCAATAGGTTTTTATGTTCCAATGAACACAACAAAACAAATATGCAGTAAAAGATTAAAGCTAAAATGTTGCTGAAAAGACATTCTGTGCTGCTGAGTTTCAGTAATTTACCTTGAAATACATAAAATGTCTAAACAAAGATATAGCTTCATTAAAATCACAAAGGTATTTTATTTTTTTACATTTTAATCTTCTTTCAGTAAAAAACGTTTACAAGTTGGTTTCTATGGAAACAATATATGATCAAAACAACCCACAGGTAATAGCAGCTAATTGGCCCTTTTGTTATTCATTCAGTGTTAGCATGAACTTTAGATTTATCTACATCATATAGATTATAAAGAGTAACAATTTGTCAAAATCAACAACAGCTGATTAGTTATTATCATTTCCCCAAAATTAAAAATAAAATTATCTGTTATATCAATAAAACAATGTTCAGTACATGGTTTTATTGATAAAAACAACAAAAGAAACAAAAAACAATCACTGATGAATTTAAAATTTAAATGAGAGAGTCAGGTTATATAGAAGAAAAGCTGTACTGTGAAAATTGTTATGTGTGTTAATATGTATAAAGAAATATACAGACAGGTTGTAAAGAACTAAAGGATCATAACAATTAACAATAACAAGGATCATTGTCAGGGAAAGTATATCAAAATAATGATAGCAGATACATTTACTGAAATATTTGTTATCTACTGACAACTAATTCAATGCTACAGGACAAATATGAACCTGTATGCATTCAGATGTTTACTGAATTTCAAATCAAATTTCAATGATAGCTATTATCAGATTTTAAGAAATAAGTCCCATATTCATAAAACAGAGACCAACTGACCACAGATAAAAAAAAAAAACAACTCAAATAAACTTAAATTTTTTACAAATATTTAATTTTGTAACAAAAAACAACATTAACTCTGACATTTATTTAATGCTTCTATCTTGGAAATTTTATTGTCATATCTCTGAAAGTATTAGGCTGATAATGTGTCAATCAAAAACTGTGCATGGAAATTTTATATTGGATATGTTGGCTGATCAGTAACAAGATCATTTTTTTGATCATTCACCAATTATCTTGTTCTCCCCATTGCACAGATCTCATCTTTAGTGATGGGCTTTTTACCTTTAAATTACAAGCAATATAATATTTGGATACTTTTACTTTCTGGGGGTGGTCATTGTGGGGAGGAAGAAGTACATCTAACAGACCAAATAGTGTACAATGCTTACAAAGTATAGATCTTGTTACCTTGTAGATTTACAAACACTGGACTGAATATTTGTAAAATTCTTTTTAATCTATTTTAGTAATTATGTTTATATACTTTATATCATTCAGTCAAATAGAAAAGAACACAAAATAAAAGCAAATTTATTATAATTTGCTTTAAAAAACTACATCATATTACTTGATTAAAAATAAAAAAAATAAATTTAAAAAATGGTTAACATGAATTATATTTATTTATTAAAAGTATTAAGGAATAATATTGCTGATAATAACCAGCAGAATACAATATAAAAATAATAATCAAAAACATAATTATAAATAATAATAGTATTACCGAGTTTTGTACTATAAAGAAAATAAGGATTCAGAGTTAATCTTCCAAGTGTGTATGTGTATGTGTCTAGAACTTTTATAAAACATATGATCATTGTTTTTTTTTACTCAATTTTGAGAAACGTATATGGTTTCATATTTAAAGAAATAAATATTTAAACAGATGTGCTATAAAAAGTAACAGGCTTTACATTAATTTGACACACTGAACAAATTTCTTGGTGAAAATGACAGTTGGTTCATATCTGGTAGAGTGACAAAGTAGCACTGATGTTGGTAAAAAGAGGAAGAGCAGAGAAGGAGGAAGAGAAGAAACTTAAAGAACTACATACATAAAACTACATTATAAAAGAAAATCATGAAAACAGCCTTTAGGAGAAAAGAAAATAAGTTTTATTTCAGTTCTATCATTAAAAAGTGAACATTAAATAAGTAGTACCTATACTCTTAGTACTTCATTTCAGGAGATATTATTCAGAAAGGGATATAAAGTTTTATGTAAAGAAAAAAGAAAGAAAGAAAAACAGTGGGTGGGCCTGGAGAGAATTGTATAAGTAAGAAGACAGTTTTCATCTATCATTAATATTTGTTGAGAGTCTAATGACACTCAATATTGATACACACTTTACTACATACAACATAAATACAATCCAATCTTTTTCTTCTTTACCTCGCTTTTTGATGTGGACATCTGTGAAAGTATATATTCCCAGCATTCCCAAAATAAAAAAAAAAAATAAATAAAGAACTTTGGGGCAGTACTACCTCACCTACCTACTTACCAGCATGTTACAGCTGCTAAAAGAGTGCCTTCCAAGCAGAACTTTAGTTCTTGCTGGCTGATGGAAATATTTACTGAGAAGCTAAAAGAGAATGAGTAAGACAGGAAAAGAGAGAAGGACATTGAAAACAAGAAAGAGACGATAACATAGATGAAGGGGAGGAGAAAGTTTTCTCAGTTTCTGCTTAAACCAAGTGGTATCAGTACCTTATCTAAATCAGATGACCTTAACATACATGTTGCCATGACAACAAATATTCCAGGACAGCTTCTTTGTTTCTACACACTCAATCCTTGACTTGAAAGAATAATGCAAAATGGTAAGGCAGAAGTAGCAGATTTTAGACCAAAAAGGATTGTTTATTTTAGAGAAAACCAACGCAAAACAATTCAAAACAGCAAGAAAAGACTTTTGTCAATTCCTCCTGTTAATGTCATGTCAGAAATGAAATCAGTGTACAAAAGCAGAATACAAAACTATTGAGTTGAAGCAGGAAGAAATAACAGACTTTTTTTTTTCAATGACAGTACTGAAGCAGTTTCATTTTTTGCAATTCAATTGTAAGTACCATTTATCAAGAATTTTCAAAGGAACTCTAAAAGGCTTTATGCTATAGAAAAAAGCAGTTCCAAGAGTAAACAGAAAAGAATCTGCATATAATCTCTTATAACAACTTTATTGGCGGGTAATGAAATGCATAAATAATATTTATATTTATCATGTAGTTATATTTTCAAATAACTACAATTCTGAATGATTTTATCTTGTGAAAATTTAGAATGTTGATTAATGCTTATTAAGTTACTTAAGGATCAAAACAATCATAACTTTTATTACACATAAACATATATTCTTTGATGATTTTCATTTTTCAAATTGATTATTGTTTCTTGCTTTAAATAATTACAAATTTGAAAAATGAATTTCATCATTGAAGTGCAAAAATACATTTATATTTGCCATTTAGTTGTCAACCATGATAATAACTTCTGTAGAGCTATTCTGTGCATAAATTGGGTTGTAACAGAGTTCTCCATGGCAATTGACTTTTGTAAATATAAAATGTAAGAAAGGAGTCTAAAAAGAAAGAGAGAAAAGAAAGCAGTGTGGCAAAAAGATTAGAAAAGTATGAAAAAAAAAAAAAATGAAAAAGAAAATAAAAATTTAACAAGAGCAATGACTAGTCTGTCAAATGCTTTGTTGTAACCTTCACTTCCTAAGCCAATACTGTGCATTTAATAGACACACACACATAAAAAAGGTTCCAGTTAAATATTTTCTTTCATCACTTGAAGAAAGCATAAGGCAATAATTTATACCTAAATAATAATATGTCTATTTCTATGAGGGTCAGTTTAAAAATAATATTTCCTATTGTATTAGGCTGTTCCACAATGTGAAAAGTGAATGTTAATAATATGGTAGTAAACACTGAACCTTTGTAACAATAACCCATAATTTGCTTTTGCCTTGCGTTTTTAAATCAGCTGAAAAACAGTCTGGTAAAATAACATTTGACCTGAAAGGGCATATGAAGTAGAGATGCATCATTGCAGAAAAATTGTACTCATTTATAATTGACACATTGAATGTAGATCAAACAATGGATATAAGCACAGTTAGATGGTAGATAATGTGTTTCAGCAGTGATAATGATAATCCATGTGACAAGCCATATTTTGCACAGCTGTCAACCCAAAAAATGTTGCTCTTGTTTATTGCTGGTGAAAATGTATAGACACTGGCATTGATCATACAGAAGAATAGTTTTTGATAGTTGAAAACTTGCTCTATCCAACAATGTTATTGTGTTCCCTGTATCTGTGGTAGTTTTTATGCAAATAAATAGGACATTACTTTTAAAGTATCTCTTGAATATTTTTTTTCATTTAGCATTCCCTTTTTATACTGAATCAAGTATGATGAGGGACAAGTTGGAAGAAGGGATATAATGATACTCTCTGCACTTGTAAAGAGTAATGAGTTTTAAGATGATTAAACTATGCAATATCTGATGAGTGAAACAATTCAAATTCTTAAGAAATGATTGTTATTGTATTTCCATTGACTCACTTCAAAATTTTCTGTTAAAACATTAGGTTGATACAAATTTTTGAATGTCATCTTTTCTACAATGATAAGGAAATCTTTGAAGTTTCCCTATGCAATCAGTCAACTGTTGGATGTCATTAGCAAACCTTACATAAAATTCAGAAACTAGAAAAACAGGTTCCACACATTTATCAGTGATTAAATATTTGTCTTTCTGTTTTTGCTTGACACAAAAAGGTACTTGTTCAACAAGATAATCACTGGTGATGAAAAATGGATTTATGGAAATTATAAATGAAGATAATTATGGTGAAATTCAGGAAAGCCTTCAATATCTCAACAATATCTACATGTATTTGGTTAGATTCAAAAGGAATTCTTTATTATGAATTACTGGAAAATGGAGACAAACTCTTACTATGTAACACTTCAGTGAGCTTATTGGAATGATGTACTGGAAGAGAAAATGTCTTTTCTAGCAAGAAAATCAAATTTGATTTTGCTGCATGATGACACCTGTCATGTGATGCAGCAAATGATCATAAACCTGCAGAGTTCTTCCACAAGCAATGTATTCTTCAGCTCTGTCACCTTCCAACTATTACTTGTTTTGTTCTTTGCTATACAAACTTATCTGCAGAACAGTTGCATAAAGTGCAAGATATCAAAGAAGTCAAAACCAATATTGCTTGTTTTATGATGAAAAAAACATTTGGTAGAAAAGAAAACGACAGTATACTGATTTTTAAAAAAGTATTTTTTTTTAAAGTTGCCTTAACTATGTTCATTTTGAAATAATTAAAATATATATTCTGGGATAACACCCAAGTAAAATAATTTATGTAAAATACTTAAATAAATTGAACCATACTTCTACCTTTCCATTTTATTAAAAAAAAGAAGAAATTAAATATCTAATCATACTAGACATAGATTGATATAAAAATCTAAAATAAAACAACTTTTAATATTTTGCATTTAATACATCTAATGTAAGACTGATTCTTTTAAAATGAAATTTAACTTCAATAACTAAAAAAAGAGCTAATAACCTTGAGAAATTTAATTCTCTTAAAAATTATATTTCAGGATTTTATTAAGAGAAAAGGAATTACAAATATTATTTTTTAAGAGAATAAAAATTGACTTTACAAAAGACCTGTAAAAAATTTCATTAGTGAAAATAATTCCAAATTTATTCTCATTTAATCTATAATACTAAATAGTAACATTAAAAAAACCTCGTTATGAATAATCCAATCCAAACTTTTCTATGGATATTATAGACTGTAGTTCAGAAATGGAAGAGAAATTTAATAAGATATCTACTAAGTTTAACAATGCCTGACATAGTTGTCAGAAAAATTAGGTTGCATATGTTTCTCTTGACAATCAGTATTTAAATTGTTGAAAGAAACACTGCAACCACTTCAGCTACCAAAAAGGTTATAAGTCATTTTCTAAGCCAAAATGTTATCTGGCTGACAATAAATCCTCTATAGACACATCATGAAGAAGGCAAGACAATTTATAGCAAGAGAATATATGATAAAATATATATAGAATTAAATGATAAAAATGTGTAAAAATTCTGACAGAAATCTTGTATGGTATTTTCAATTTTTTGTTGATTATTTTTTTATTTTTCAATATTAAAATCTTACTAAACTATGAAAAAAATTGTAGAGTCAATATTAGTATTGCCAAACTATTTTTAAAATTTAAACTAGGTAATATTAAGTTATAGTTTTTGAAGATTTACTTCATGACAAAATTAAAAGGTATTAATAGAATCTTGAGGAGAAAATATAAACAGAAGCTTTGCTTTTGAAATAAGAACTCAAATCAAAACAAATTATTACTAATATACTAAAAAGAAAATGAACAGAAATATATATGTATTGATAAGAAATTTTAACATGTTACAATTACTGCTGAAAACATTTCAAATCCTAAAGCAATGAGAATGTATTTTAGCAGAGTAATTATTTGCACTCAATATTAAACATAATATCAAGAACATTTCTATGATTATTTATGACTGAAAGGAAGAGACTGTGCCAAGAGATGAAAAATGGTAACTGTAATGAGAAACAATTTGTATTTACAAAATAATAACATTTGGATGTATTAACTGAAGTCATTTTATATTTTAACTGGAAACATTTTGGACAAGTTAACAAAAGAAATTGTGTATTAGGTTGCTGAAAATGAATTTTGCTGAAGAAAAGAGAATAATAGAATTTAATTATGGTATTACATTTTTCTCAAATTTTACTCAAAATAACAAATAAAGACAAAGTACTAATACTGAAAGATCATATCAGGTGACTGAAAGGACGATCCACTTAAGAATTAACATTTAAAAAGTCAAAAAGTCATTTTCATTTTTTTTTTAAATTGTAAATCATTCACATAAAAGAAATTAAGAATGATATGTTTTTGCCAATCCTGGAATGGTAAAAAGCAAGTATGTAAAATAACTTACCCTAAACTGTTCTAAGTATTCTTGACAAAGATCTTCATTGTCCAACACTTCTTCCTTGCTAGTCTCATCAGCCAGGCGACAAAAACTGTTTTCAACACTTGCCATCCAGCTGAGGTAGTTGTCTAATGCATGATGCAATTGCTGCAGAGAATTGCGATTGGCCTGAAGCGTTTGCCATTTCTTAGTCAACCTAATACAAAAGGAAAAACAATTTAATAAATTTTCTTGTCACTGATGTTCTATATTTAAAAAGTTTAATTATTTAATCTGTGGTGCAATATTCGTTCAGAATATTAATGTTAAAGATGCAAAATTATTTCTGTGTGTGTATTTAATTTCATGTGATTTATAAAGAGCTAACAAATTCATACACAGAATTATTTAAGAACTAATCTTAAAGCAGACAGAAACCAATCCAAACAGTGAATAATTATGACAACATTTTAATAACATTTCATTAACAACATTCTAATAACATTGTTTTGTAATAAATTTATTATGTATGTACAGCTAAAAATATCAATATTTTCTAAAGTATTAATTTCAAAACATGAGGCAAATAAAAATTAGCTTTATTTGATATTATCTTCCTATAGCCAAGAGGAGATATCTCTACTAGGGATTCCTAACCAGATGCCTTTGGCAAATATAACAATAAAAACTAATCTTACAAGTGCATATACATAAAAAGATGATCTTATATACAGTGATGTGCATAGTAAAAAACAAAAGAGTCTGTAAACATACATTGATATATCTAAATCTATACACACATATATGCATATTTATTTCTGTGCATATAAATTTCAAAAAAGCAATAATGCAACATAGAGAAGGAAGACTATTTGAGTTGTAAACCTAGGTGGCAGAAAGAGCATTTAAAATGTTAGCAATAATTTGACAAATTTTAAATAAAAGGTGACAGATTTTTCTGATAAGCCTCCCTCTGCAAGAACAACCATTCTAGATAATGATCTTTTGAAGGAGATCCTTATCATCAAAGTACCAGATATTTAACAAAAAGCCATCATTTTCAATCTAGACATGAACATCAAGCAAATAGAGAAATAAATCTAAAGGGGAAATTTGGATTCCCCATGAACTCTCACCTTAGAATTTAGCATAATGGTTTGCTGACCAATAAATCTTCCTCTTGACAAGATGAGAAATGGGCACATTATGTTAAGAACAATCAAAAAACCAAGCAATAGTTATAAATCGTCGACAGGTTATGTATTGCATTTGGTGGAACATAGCAAGTATCATCAATAACAAGTTACTAAAGTATCACTACATATCTTTATTGTTAATAACTCAAGTTGATACACAAGCAATAGACAATTATTTTGGTTGATAGAAAAGATTTCATCTTCCCGCATGACAATATAAAAACTCAGTAAAACAAGCTCAGAAGAAAAAAATAAATAGCCTGGGAAGTTTTACCTCATCCTCCAGAACTCACTAAATCTGACACATGTGGATTAATTATCATTTATTTTGATCACTAGAACATTTTCTTTCTACTATTAAAATAATAAAAAAAACAAAAAAACAACTGTATTTCAGATATTTTCAATTAAAGAATGTCAACATTTTATCATGGAGGGGATAGAAATAAATTGCCTTATAGTTAGGCTATTGTAATTGCTAATAATGGTAATTAAAAAACACATTTTTATTTGCCCTGTGAAAATATATTAATTTCTGAACAACTTAACAAACACTACTTATAAATTACAGAAATAAATTATTTCATATGCACTACAGTGGTAAATAAACAGACAATCTTAAAATGTTGTCTGTACTTATGATACACATAAATTGATAAATCAAGAAATGACCCATCATAAACAGAGATAACTGATCTGATGCAAAGGTACATAAAAAATAAAAGTTCTGTTGAAACTAATTTCAGTTTATAAGTTATTAAGAAGATTTCTTTCTTTTATACACACACACACACACACACACATAAAAGAGGCTTTAAAGTTCATGACAGAGAGAAAGAGAATATGTCAAAGAAAGGAACTGACAGGTATTTTAAGTAATAAACATAAGAATAAATAAAAATTTCAAAATTTATTTTAAAAACTTTTGTGTCATATGTTGTTATGCTAATGAAATCTGTCTCTGGTATGAGATAAAATCATATATGGAAAAAATTTACTTGTCAATTGCAGAAGTCAGAAATAAAATGAAATTTTTAAGAATAACTAAATAGTGGAAAAATTTATAACTTTTGGGGATGATTCAAAAATCTTACATTTATGGATGTTAGATAGGAAAATTGAATTTGTAATTCAAGACTAGAGAAATGCAAATGGACAAACAGTTAAAATGAAATTGGCAAACTCAGCTCAGATTGCAACGGAGATAGTTTGTGAGTTCACTTTACAGTAATACTTGGGAAAGACATGACCCTATCTCTTTTCTCCTTAGGTATGGGTAAATATAGCAAAAAATAAGAGATGCAGCTAGCACTCTCAGTCCATAAAATTCTACTTGCTAAAATGTGATTGGTGCACAAATTGAAGAACTGGTTAGATCCAGGATCCAGTTAGACTAAAGGAGTTAAAGTTTTCTATTGAAATAAAACTTTTCAGTGAAATCTATTTCTTTGTAGTTAAATGTTAATACTCCAAATGTTTATCTATTTATCAAGAATGAAACAAATCTGCTGAACAGCCACAAAAACAACATTTCTTTACAATATTCAAAATATGTAAAAAATAAACATTTTAAAAATAAGACTAAATTAAATTTTAGAATAATTTGTTTCTTGTAACAATTTGCAATGTCTTGAGAGGGAAGTGTACATCAGAGAATGTCCAGTAAAACAAAATCTAAAAATAAAATTTTGCTTCAACATTAGAACCTGAAGAATCTCATAATTAAAAGAGGAAGCTAAGATGGCTTAGTAACTCATACACAAGTCAGCTTATAGCTTAGGAATGTTTGTAATCTAACAATTTAATTAACAACTGTTTATTCTTAAACATAATAAGTAAGCTAATGTAATGTACAATTTTATTTCATCTGTGTTTTGTATGTTATCAAATGAAGTTTAACAAAGCATCATGGAAGATGTTCTTTTTTTTGTCCCTGCCCCAAATTTGTCATTTTTTGATACACTGTAAAATCTCTAAATCAATTACTGCTATCAAATAATGATGGGCTTATCATTAAGCATTTTATTTCCAATAATAAATACTCATCAATTTTGTGAAATTACCAGCAGAAGATCCAGTAACAATAACTACTTTGTCATTTTTACTAACATGCCCGGAATACATATTTGAAGATTATAATTGACACTTTTTTAAACAAAGATTTTCATGGTTTTGTTTTCTTTCAAGATTTATTAATCATTACTTGCTAATAATCAAGAAATTAATTTTATTATTACTAATTCAATAATCATGGAGGCTTGGAAGAAGCATAAAAAGATTAATATTTCCATTAAAATACAGCTTCCAGAGAAAAAGAATTGATCATTTCACTAATAGACAGACATCTTGGTAAAAGCACAATGGTTAGAGCATTAGAATGAAGGTGACTGAATGTGTTCAGCTTGAATAAACAAAGTTTCTTTATTTAAAAAAATATTATGAAATAATAATTATGTCATTCTTCATAGGATCACTTAATTAAAACTTGTAACCATTTTAAAAACACAAGCATAAAAGAATTCACTAAGAATTTAAATAGATCCTGACTTAACAAGGAGATTTTTAGTCAAATCTGTGTTCATTTTATTGTTTCTTCATTTATTTATCAAAATTTATGCATTGTGAAACTTGAAAATAATATTTCAGAATATTTCTTAGAAAATATTCCTCTTTTATTCCATAGAAAATAATTAGAATTTTTTATACTGAAATATTTGTGTTTTTTTAAAGAACAAACAAAAAAAAAAGAAAGAATTTTGGGCTATTTTAAATATCATGTGATATGATTTTTTGGTTATTTTAAATGTCATGTGATACAAAACTTAGTTAGAAATGAGGAATTGGTGAATAATCTTATTGTGAACCAAACTGCCTTTTGTTATCTTTTGTACACCAGTTATTTAAATATATTTTTTTACTCATATAGACACTGGTTTCCAACAGAAAAAAATGAAAACAGCTGAAAATTATTAAATATGCAAGTTTAGAATAAAAAGACAAAATATACATTTTAATTGAATCTTCAGTTCTAATATAAATTGAAAGGAAAAATCATTTTATTTTTATATTCTATTTTATGAATCCCACTTAAAATTAAACTACAAGTGAACTAAGAAAATGTTGGTAACTTCATGAACTTGCTCTACAAGAGCAATTGAAATATATGAAAAACAGTTTGGGTAAGCATGAATGATTTTCTATATTGAGATGAGTTATTGATTTCATATTGGCTGGCCAGAGAATGAAAAGAAAGAAGTAGTGGGTTGGTTAGCAGAAGAAAAAAGTTGGAGAAGTACAATCATACTTGATACTACTGCAGGGCTATTTCAAAACTTGTTAGATTTTAAGACATGCATGCATAGATGCACATAAAATTATGGATATACAAAGATATATGTCAATATATGGAAACATGTATGTATTTGTAATCATACCTGTGTGTGCATACATGTACACTGGCATATAGATACTAGTACACATATATTTTCACTTAAAGACAAAACAAGAAATATATATTTATACTAGAATGCAGTGAGACATTACCCAGGCCTCTTAAGAAACTGAGATGAAAAGAATATGTACAAATTTTGTCAAAATGGCATGCATATATATATATATATATATATATATATATATATATCTCATTAAAAAGTATATTGAAAAGAAAGCAAATAGATTTTTTGGATGGAAAAATGGAGACAGGTTTGTTACTTTCTCAGGCAATATTCTGAATATTTGATTATTACTGAATATTTATTTATTTCAGAAATACAGGTTCCAGTTTAGAAAGACCTGCTTCAATGTTCAACCCAGCTGTGTATTTCCATGTTGTGCATGTTAGACATTATTTTTTAAAAATAATGACCAAAATATATTAAAGTTGTAAAGTTAGAAGTTGAAAGAGAAACATGCAAAAATTCCACCATTATTTTGATGCACTTACATCTGATTTTCCTGACAATCTCTGATAATACCCCTTTAAGTGGCTAATGTTCAAAGCTGAAATAGACTCTTGCTCTTC